ATCTAACCCGAACGGTACTACCGCCACGGAGTTAGTATCATCCTGTACTTGCGTAGTAACTGTTTCTTCCAGCGCAAGCAACCAATTCCCTGACTCTCTCTTACCCTCAGAGGTTGAAGTTTCTTCAGGAATCGTTTCAATCTTCTTCCTCGGACTATCTCTCAACATCAACGCCTCCCAAGGATCAATATCTCCCGCCTTTGTCTCCTCTTTCCTATTCTTCTTCTTCTTCTTCTTCTCAACTTTTGTTATGACTCTGGAAGCAGAAACAGAGGGACTATTCGGAAGAGACTTAATCGAAACCGTATCGAAGTTATCCTCCCTTCCTCCTTCGCAAGGCTCCGAGTGACAAGACATCGGAGGACTACTAGTCCCCGCATCCTCCAAAGAACCACTCCTAAACGACCCGTAATCCGAACACCTCTCAGACAACGAGCTCGAAACCGTCGAAGGAGGAGGAGGAAGAAGAAGACTATTCGGCGAAGGATACATCCCAGCATTCCCAAGAAACGACGTCTGATCTTTCAAAAACTCCTGCAACGTCTCCAAAAGCTCCAACGAGATCTTCTGAACGCTCGGATACTCCGAAGTCCGCCCTACGCCGTTAGCTTTGCAGAGATCGTAGAATCCGTTAAGCTCCTCGAACTGCTTCGAAGCTCTGACGGAGGTTTGAAACGCGTGGACGCAAGATTTGTACGGCAAGTGGAAGAAGCTATCAAGAAGAAGAGCTAAACCGTCGGAGATGTCTCTATAAAGATCGAAACTCTCTTGCGCCACGGCGTAGAGAGACGTCTTCACGAGCTTGTTGGCTTTCGCGTCTCCCGTCGGCCGCGTCGCGATGGCTCTGTCTAGTAGTCTCTGCCAGTAAGTGATTTTGTCGAGGAGCATCACCGGTTTCATATCTCTAACGGCCGGTTCGTCTGTTTTTTTGTTTCTGATTCTCGGATTAAACCGGGATTTAATTCCGGTTTGGTGGTTGTTATTAGTGTACCGTCTCTGTAACTTCCCGGTTAAGAAACAATCGAGACGCTCGTCGAGGTACAGCGCGAAGGTGCGGACGAACGCTGTGTAATCCCAAGGGCACGAGTTCGAGTCGTCGCGGAAGGTGGAGAGGTTTAAGATTTTCGCGCCTTTTTTCATGACGTGGAGGACTTCGCGAGGGAAGTAAGGGTCGCCGTCTTGGAAGATCCTGAGGACGAGGACTAGGGATTTGAGAGCGACGATCCAGTTCTTCGTGCGTCCGATGCGGCGGCCGATCGCGGCGGCGCAAGAGGCGGCGTGTGGCTTTTGGGAGGAGATGATTGAGAGGATGTCGGAGACGAGACGGTCGTCGATTGGGACGTCCTCGTCGTGGCTTGTGGCCTTGAGGATGGCGACTTCGAGGGTGGTGAGATCGTTGCCTCTGTTTGTGACTTTGGTGACTTTCGCGAGGCTGATGCTCGTCTGGTCTTTAACCGCTCCTATCGCCTTTTTCAGTTTGCTCGGCATTGTTGTTGTTTTCGTCGTCGTTGGGGTTTTTTTGAATTTTGAATGTTGACCTAATCGTTGTCTTCGTCCTTCCTCTTCCTCTGGATTTTTCTCTCTCTAAGGAAAATGTTTTGAATTTTTTTTTTTTGCTAAATATAAAAGAGTGGAAGAGAGGATAAAATGGCGGGAGACTCTCTCTGGATCCTGCTAAGACATGACAAATATATACGTTGACTACACATCAAAGACTTCTATTATTAACCCCACGCGCAAGACTGCGGCGCGTTGTTTATAACGGTATTAACGAACAATGTGTTTGAAGTGAAGCAGTAACAATGTTTTTTCTTAATGTAGATGTGTAACAGTTTTTGTATGATGTGATTTGAGTAAATGTATAATCATTTCACAATGTAGACAAGTTATTGTATCATATATAGCTTACAGGTTTTAAATCCAAAGCTCGAATCTTTAAATTCAAAATCTTAGGCGAAAAGAGGTTTCTTGTAGAAGAGCAATCCTTCAAATATGATCATGAATTGTTTTGATAATAATCTTTGATGGATTACAGTATTACATGAACATATATCAATCTCCATGTTTTTATTTTTGCTACTGAAAAGAAATGATTCATAAAAAAAAATGATTCATCTCAAAGGCGAAATAACTTATAGAACAAGGCAGGTTTATATGAAGCAAGGGCTTGTCCAATCACCAGTCCAAACAAGACTCCAGGTCCATATCCTATTGCAGCTGCCTTCCAGTTCAACACCTGTTCTTGTTTTGTCTGTTCTAGCTCTTGTGTCTGTGGTGTTGATGTTGCTCTCGTGAAACAAGTCTCGTCAAGAGGAAGACCACAAAGATTGATATTCCCTTCAAAGGAGGATTTAGACTGCCCTACAATCTGTGTACTCTGTGGTATTTGGCCTGTGAGTCTGTTATGTGATATGTTAATGTACGCCAAGAACGTGAGGACTCTTATCTCTTGAGGGATACTTCCAGAAAGTTGGTTTCGAGATAGATCCAATGACTCAAGTTGTTTGAGTTTGGCCAAAGACGATGGTATCTGACCTGTGAATCTGTTGTTAGATAAGTCAAGCACAATCAATGCTTCCAATAAACCTATGGTTTCTGGAATCTTCCCTCCAAAACCATTTCCTGAAAAATCAATTATTGTGCATGTGTCTGGAATCTTTTCCAACTCCATGTTTCTTCCTTTGTTTCTCACATCAATGGAAGGATAATACCACGGCTCGGTCGGATATTTATAGTGCCAATCTCCTCTGTAACCAGGCCAACTATTACCTAGAGTAGAATTAACCAAAGGCCCACTCAAATTAGCAAAGTAATTTGGTGGCAGTGTCCCGTTGAAGTTGTTAAGAGATATGTCCATTATCCGCAGTGCTGTAAACGAAAGAGACCTCTCAGGAGAAGATATGGGACCATGGAATCTGTTTGACCTCAGAACAATGACTTCAAGTTTCGGCAAAACATTCAGCCAGAAAGGGAAGGTGTCACTGATGAGATTCCCTTCCACATTTAGAAACTTTAGGTTTGTGCAGTTTACAAGAGACCTTGGTAGCTTCCCACTTATTTGATTGTGGCCAACATCAAGTAGTACTAATGAACCACTATTTATTCCAGGAAGTCTCCCAGTGAGGTCGTTGTTACAGAGCTTCAACACCGATACATTTGTCAAGCATTGGTGTATTGACCCACTCAAGTTGTTGTATGATAGATCAAGGAGTCTTAATTGAGATGCTTTGCAGAGTGTAAGAGGTATGTCTCCAGTGAAACCATTATTTGATGCAGCCATGACCTGGATGGTGGGTGGAATAACAGGAAAGGAGCCGTGGAAGGTGTTTGAACTCAAATCTAACTCGGAGAGAGAGGATTTAAGGAGCACTTTTGGAGAACCTTCCAAGAAACCGAAGGAGTTTTGAGAGAGATTTACTTTTCCCAAAGCAGGAAGTTTCCATAACCACTGAGGCACTTTTCCTTTAAGCCCATTCTTGGAAACGTCTAATCCCACCAAGTTCCGTGAGGTCTTTATAAACGCTGGGAACTCGGTGATGTTGCAGTTGGACAGTATCAGAAACGACAAATTTTTGGAACCGGTATTAAGCAGTGACACGCTGTTCCCGGAAAGATCCAAATACTCTAGAGACTTGAACAGCAAGAAATCGAAGTTGATCGTGTAGGTTGTGTTCTGAAAAGATAAGTCGAGATGTTTGAGGACGGGTAACTTTGAGATAGGTTGTAGGATTCGACAACTAAAAAGGTTCTTGGCCATGTCTAGATGCACAAGCTTAGAGGCTGCAGAAGAACTCATATTGTCAAGAGGGTCTTTAAGATTGTTTTGGCGCAAATCAAGATACCAAAGGAAAGGCATGATGAATAGAGAAGAAGGAATGGTTCCAGAAAACTGATTATAGGAAAGGTCTACAGAAGAAAGAAGTGTTAAATTATGTATATGGGGAAAATGACCGGTGAGCTTATTATATGAAAGGTCCAAGGAGGTTAAGCGGCTTAGGTTACTGATTGAGGATGGAACTTCTCCTATAAAACCATTCTGGCTAAGATCCAAGTATTCCAAGTTGGTGAGTTTGCCAAATTCGGCTGGGAATGAGGACGAGTCAAAGTGGTTAATAAAGAGACGAAGGTACCTGAGGTGTTGGAATCGGAAGAGGCTACTATTAGTCTGGATGGTGCCACTGATACATGCACCACCAAGGTTTAGCTCTGTAACCACACCTGTTGCATTATCAAAGACAACTCCATCAAAGGAAACACCTTCTTTGGTCCAAGAGCTTATATTTGGACTATGGAACACCACATCTGGAGTGTTCCAAATAGGGTCGCAGTTGCGGGATGGAAACTCATTCTTGAAAGCCAAAAGAATCTCAACTTGGTCAGGACTAGGAGGAACTGGGAAGCTGGTCACACTGACGCAACAAGTGATGAAGAAAACGGCCAAATGCAATTTCATTTCCAACAAATGAAGAGATATGAGGGAGAAATTGGTAAGTGTGATTCGGTAATGCAGACAAATCTTACAGATAAATATAACGATGATAAGAGCAAAAGTCACATTGCTTGACTTGAATTGTAAACGGTAAAAGTCATTCACTAGGTATTGGCAACTACACATTTAAGTCGACAAGACAGATACCTACCGAGGTGAATATTATGTCTTTTTGAAGATTTTTCAAAAATAGCAAACTCTTTCTTAAGTTTTAACATGCTACAGATAGAAAAAAAAAAGGCTAGAGGTAGCATATGTTATTATTATTAGTAAGCTAATGCTCTAAAATTCTTCTTCTCAAATCTGAGATTAACTATATGATAAAAGACCTGTCGAGAATAACGAATAAAATATTACTTTGTCAAAAACTGTAGTTCCAAAAATTATGAGATAAATACACTGAGCTAAGCTGTTAGTTGGTGTAGAGGATCATATATTTTGGTTCTTGTACCTTTTCATCAACTATATTATTTCATGCAGTGTCAGTTCTAGGCATAACGAGATAAAACATTGGCTTTGGATCCCCTTTCAAAATTTTAGTTGTCAAGTGTTCCAATGAAAATGTAACATATATTTAGGAGTTGAACTGAAATTAGAAAAAAGGAGAGAATATATGTAACCTCTTTCTTAGACAAAGATGATTCATGTTCGAAAAAATAGTGTGTGCAAAACACATTCTCTCACTCTTCCATCGAAACTGATTTGGGACGGTGAATGCTCTCGCAGCCAGGACAGTTGTGCAAACTTTCATGAATGTATATGTCGCAGTCCAGACAGAAATAGTGCTTACATTTACGACATGTTACGCATGGCCCTGGCTTGTTCCCTGCACAAACAAAGCACCAATGAGCCATTCAAGCTAATGCTCTTTCCGTTGATACAATGTGTGACGAAAACTGAAGAGATAGATTGACATCGGAAGTGCCAGACACAATGGAGTCAGTATACCTTAACAAGGGTTAACTAAGTCTATCTTAAGTTCAGTTACCAGTTCTACTAAGAAACATTGGTGAAAACTTCAAGATAACTCGATGTTCAAATATTATATGTTTTATTATTTACCTCCACCAAGTAGGCTCTGTTGGCAGCCAAAACAACTCTTTCCCAATTTTCTCCGAGGATCATTCAAACTTGTAAGAGTAGGAACCTCATCAAATGGAGCAATTGGGAAGAGATGATGGTATGATCTTGCAAGATGTGGAGACGAAACAAGTGTCAGACCACAGATAGTGCATTCCGTAGGAAGCTCACATACACGTGCTTTGCATCTCGGGCACGTGTAACCAGCTCCGATCTTAACTTCCTTATGACACGAACAGATTGCCATTGAACCCTCAGCTGCTCTTTGTGGGAACCCCATCTTAATCAGATTAGAAATTGCAAACTCTGCAATTGCCGGAGGTGGAGGTGCATGTTCAAGAAGCAGATCCTTTAGATGCACCTGCGTGATAAGAGAATAAGACACAAAATATACGGGAACCTTCGTTTTCGAAACTACTAAGTTGAAGTAGAAGATAACTAAACGCACCTCATCTACTGCAACAGAATACAATCCACCAGTTTCTTGGCAAAGGTGTTTGCATATAAACATTTCTGCAGAGAGTCCAATAACAGAACATCTTAATCTTGATTTCTTGCATTTCTGAATGGTCTCCATGATATCTCCTGGATCAGAGGTGCTTAGAGCTGAATACAATATCAGAACCTCGCGATGACCATAAGACGGAATCTGGTTGAGATGCTCATGCACAAGCTCTAGGGCGTTCTGCAAAGAGGAGTCACCCGCGGCTTCCAGCTTTCCCATCAACGCTTGTATATGTGATTCAGGACTCCCACCAAGATCTGTTAGGGTATGCGCTATCCCATTTTTTATAGAAACCAAACCGATCTGACTCAGAGGATTCTGGTCAAAGAACTCTCTAATGAAAGCTTCAACATGTTTCGCCATTATGCCCATCCGGCTTGGTCTGAAATCCGTTTCAGCAGCTGCCTAGATACACAAAAAAACAAACAAAGTGTAAGACATTGCCTATTACGTAACTGATGAAAGAATTGAAAACATGGAGTAAAATAAGCTTCCTGGAATATGAATCCAAACCACAATGTCGCCAGTAAGAATCACAAGAAACAGAAATATCATTTTCATAAGCTCTAACCAAAAAAAACCCACTTGAGATTGTCAATTACAAAACAACACCAAGGCAGCTATATACATTGTTAGGAAGAAGAAAGAGCAGAAATCTCCTACACTCAAAACAACATTATGAGATCTCCTACACCCAAAAACAACACTATGATTATCATCTTCACATCACAATGTTACTAGAACCTTAGTAAGGATCACAAGAAACAGTATTATCATCTTCATATGCTCTAAACCCAAAAACCCACTTACAGTGAGAGTTTTCAATAACAAACAACACCAAACCAGCTAAAGAGACACTGTTAAAGAAAACTAAAGAGCAAAGAAATCTCCTACACTCAGAACAAACTTAACAAAAGTAAAAGCAGAGTACACTTCTCTCTATATATAAACCCCAAAGTGCCTTCAAATCAAAGCATCACACGCTCAGCTTCACTCATATCAACTAAAAGGAAACAACTTTAAATCTAACACTCACACAATCCCCCAACTCAATTCCATAAACCTTCACATCACAAAAAGGAATAAACTTTTCACCCGAGAGAAGTCAATGACGACGTAAAGATAGCGAATAAGCCCCTTCTGGATACGAGTTCCAGCTGCGGCGGCGGAGAGCATACGTAGACGGCGGCGATACTGAGCATGGTAAATGGCACTGCTATCAATTGGCCGTAAAAGCCCAGACTCATCCTCTTGCAAGGCCTCCCAGGATCTTTCGTCAACATAATCTCTCTCCCACCCGCCGATACCTTCCGCATCGTCCTCCTCCTCGTCTTCTTCTCTTTCTCCGTTGGGTCTCTTTCTCTGATTACTCATCCTTTTTTACCTCTCCCCCCAGAAAGATCTCTAAGCTTATTATAAAAAAAACTCTAGCAAACTATTATAGAACAACCCTTTACCTTTATAAAAGTTTCAATTATTAACTATAACTTTATATTGTGTCAATTTAGACCCAGTCTATTGTCAAATAGCATCTTGTTATTTTCATCTCTATAATTACATTTAGAGGTGAAATTACTTTTAAAAACATATATTTTTTTTTCTTTTTTTCTTTAATTTATAGAAAAAATAAAATTTTATATTTTATATTTAAAAAATATTATTTCCTTTGTTTCCTTACAGATTTATTTTTTACATTTTCAATTCATGTTTTATTAATTAATTGAAAATTTTTAAAAAAATAATTGCACTAATTGATTTTTTATTGGTTTGAAATTATGGAAAAAAATAAATACAAAAAACTATGCAAATTTCTTATGTTTTACCAAAAAGTGTGAAAAACCAGAATATGGATATTTTAGGATATCTCATCTCTATTATAGAATTTTAAATAAAAAATTAAGATAAAAATACCAAAAATACATTAGAGATGATATAAGAAACTTCCATTTTAAAACATTGTTCACATAGAGCGATAGGGAGATCCAAAAAATTACAGAATAACCCTTACCTTTTATAAAGTTCACAGTTGTTAGCTATTACTTTCTACCGTCACTGTTTAGACCCTGTCTACAATGCAATTGGCCTGCCAGAGAGAGACTCAGAATCATCATCATCTTCATTCCCCAAACCCCATCCTCCTGACGAAAATGGCGACGGAGATCTCGTCGGATCTGATCAACCAACTTAAACTCTCTCTTCGTAAGAATACCAAGCTCTCCTCCTCTTTGGATTCCTCTTCCGCAAGCCTCCCCACAGCTCCGGAGGCAATCGCGGAGCTCGATGCTGCTTCACCTCCTTACCTCCGATGCGGAAACTGTAAAGGAAAGCTTCTGCGAGGGATCGAGTCTCTGATCTGCGTCTTCTGCGGAAATCAGCAACGGACTAGCGATAACGCTCGTCCTGATCCGATCAAGTTCACATCCACTTCCGCTTACAAATGGTTTTTAACCTCTCTTCAATTAGATGGATCGGTAAAAAAAAATAAACATTTTGTGAAATAATTTTGATTTCTGTTGATTGTGAAGATGGAGAGAGACTTTAATGGAATGATATTTGAATTCTGCAGGAGATGGTGGAGCCACTAGAGGAAACGAATGGATTAAGTAGAGGAGGAGGTAAGGTAGCTGTTGTGAAAGGAATTGCTGTGTCTGAGTTTCTTGATTTGGAAGTAAAGTGGTGTGCAAGGGATGAAACGAGTGATGAAGTATCCGTGCAGAAGAAAAGTCCTTTGAATTTAGGAGGAATCAGTCTTGTTGATTATTTCGTTGAAGAAAGAGGAGATTTTTCTAAAGTGGATACAGCAGAAGAGAGCAAAGAGGTGGAGGATGATGATTTTAAAGATCCACGTAGTCTGAGCTTGTTTGATAGTGTCAAGAGACAAGGAGTTGTGAATGAAAATGTTGGTTTGGTTAAGGGAAAAGTTTCGTCTCAAGGACATGAGAGTCTTAGTTTGTTTGCGGGACGAGATGGACAGGATAGTGTTTCTTTGGCAGAGCAGGGAAATTTTGGGTTCTTTGAGGGAAAAGTTTTTGAGAACTCTTTTAAAAAGGATGAAAATCTTAGTCTGTTTGATGGGAAAGATGCTCCGGGAGCTAGTTCTTCTACAAAAGATGATAGTTTTGGTTTCTTTGAGGGTAAAGATGTTCAGAGAACAAGTTCCTCTAAAGAAGGTGAGAGTTTTGGTTTCTTTGAGGGTAAAGATGTTCAGAGAAATAGTGTTTCGAAAGAGGATGAGAGTTTTGGTTTCTTTGAGAGTAAAGATGCTCTGAGAAATAGTGTTTCGAAAGAGGATGAGAGTTTTGGTTTCTTTGAGAGTAAAGATGCTCTGAGAAATAGTGTTTCGAAAGAGGATGAGAGTTTTGGTTTTTTTGAGGGTAAAGATGCTCAGAGAAATAGTGTTTCGAAAGAGGATGGCAATCTTGGTTTGTTCGAGGGTAAAGATGGTCAGAGAAACAGTTCTTCTAAAGAAGATGAGAGTTTTGGTTTGTTTGAGAGAGCACCATTGTCAAATGATGGCCTCAAGTCTTTTGATGACAAGGTTGTTGCCTCGTCTTCTGATTGGGATTCTGACTTTCAATCTGTCTCCCAGGAAAAGATTAGTGGCGATCCGTTTGTAAGTTCTCCGGCTGATTTATCTGCTCATATGGATTCTGTCTTTGGTTCCGGAAAAGATTTATTCTATGAAAAACCAGCAAATTCTTCAACTGCTTATGTTTCCAATGCTGGTGATTGGCTGCAAGATGATTTGTTTGGTAATGTTACTGGCAAGTCTCAAAACAACGACCCTGTTGTCCATGATAAGAATGAGGGACAAGTTGTGGGCGGAAATGGAAGTTCATCCATGGATATTGATTGGATTGGAGATGATCTATGGCAAACCAGTGAAAAGAAAGCCATTGAGAAGACACCTACGGATGATAATGATGATGACGATGACTGGAATGATTTTGCAAGCTCAGCTAACCCCAAGACTACTCCTAGTAATCTGATTTCGAGAACCATGGAAAGTCCTCTAGAGGACACATTTGATGGGATGTCACATGTTAAAGAAGAGAGCAAATACGAGAACCAGAATACTGGTACAAACATGATATCTGACATAGCCAAAGGCCAAGAAGATGATCTCTTCGGAACTTGGGATAGTTTCACATCCTCAACCGTTTTGCAGCCTCCCACAGACCATGTGAATCCATCTGCTGAGCAAAATCAGGGAATGAACTTGTTCGGGGAAAGTGACAATCAGAGAGACCTTGAGTCTGATTTCTTTTCGGAAAGTATTGGAGGCCAAACCTATTCAGAGGAAGTCAAAGCCATGCCTTCAGAGAGGTTATTTATTTTATATTCTCTTAAACTTCTTGCTCTAACCTCTGTAAGCAATGTTCATTTCATATTAACAAGAAGCTTCAGATGTAATAACATGCCCACGCTTTTGTTTTCAGAACGAGTGATCCTGATGGTCAAGGTCAAGATAAAGTAGGCACAACAACAATATATCCCAAGTCAAAGAGTGATATTGCAGAGGAGCTAATGTCACAGATGCATGATCTCTCGTTTATGCTGGAGTCCAAACTATCTGTACCTCCAATCTCCAAGGCAGAGTAATATTATGACAGTCTACTATCTCTCTTTCGCCTCCTGTTTTTCTTGAGGCTCGAAGATTGTTTGTAATCACTTATATGTTTCATTTTTAGTAACTCAAAAGATCCATCTTGCTTGCATTATAGCCAACAAATGGTGTTACTCTAATCTAAGAAGGTGAAAATCTTTTGTATTAAAAAAAAGAAGGTGAAAACAGGTTTAAGGTACCGCATAATGTGATCATACAAAAAAGGTTTTTAATTCTAGTAGATTAAGTTAGGTTGTAAACAGAAACCTCATGTCTTCCGCTGTCAACTTTCCTATGGCCTCCTGAGATCCACCAACAGTCCTGTAATGAACAAAAGATGTGTTCATGATAGCCTCTCATTCTATGTTCGGAAATAAAAAAACAACAGAAGTAGGGAATCCTTTTATTTACCCTTCAAACACAAGGTCCTTCTTGTTTTGTAGCTTCAAAATCTTTTCCTCCACAGTGTTCTCTATTATGAATCTCACAACCCTGTAAATTCCACACAAATAACAAATGTATCAAACATTTGTTCTCACTTCTCACCCATCAACGATATAGAAGAACTAAATTGTAACCTGATTGGCTTGTACTGTCCGATCCTATGTATTCTGTCTTGTGCTTGCCTCTCAACCGCTGGGTTCCACCATGGGTCCATCATGAACACCTAACGAGTTTTTTTTTTTCCACAGAAAACAAATGTTACAACATGTTTTCAATACATCGCTCCATATATAGTTGTTAACACTTACATGTGAAGCGACTGTTAAGTTGAGAGCAACCCCTCCAGCTTTCAAACTCATCAAGAAAATTTTGCAATTCGGATCTTCTCTGAATTTATTGATAGCAACATCTCTAGCTGCCATGGACATGCTTCCCACCAGCTGGGTGCAACCAACCCCACACTGAAAGAGAGTGTTTCATTCTGATTATAACTAATGTTAAAAAAAGAATAACATATTCACAGCTATTGATATTTACCTTCCCAAGGGTGTAGTTTATCAGATCCAAGAATGATGTGAACTGGCTGAATACTATTGCTTTAGCAGACCCATCTCTTTCGATCATAAGCCTTATTTCTTCCCTCTGCAAACAGACATGATCTCACGAAATGGTTAAAGAAAGAAACTAACAAGGGAGCAACCCCATTTAGTAGAAGAGACATAAATATTCAAAGAGTACATACCAAAGCCTCTATCTTTGTACTTGTCTGAAAATCTTCGAGCTTGATCCGATTTAAAATACTTGAGGCTCTAAATCCTTTAATTGTTGTCTTGTTTACCTGCTGCTCTATACCAGCTTTGGCAGTCCAATCCATAGTCAGTACTGTTGAGCATGTTGGACAGCTGAATTTCCCCAGTGATGCAGCGTAATCAATCAAACAAGCTTTACAGAACACATGTTCACAAGAAGTCACCTTCAAAAGTTAAAATAACCAAAGAAAAATATTAATCAAACAAGTTATTCCAGCAAATACAAATCTCACAGATTCCTAAGCAAGGTGTTGAAATACTTACAACATTGTCCTCAGCCGGTTCATGGCAGAGACCACATTCCTGCTCCTTTTTGTTCTCATCATTCAAGTTAGCATTAGCACCTCTAGAAGGTGAATACACCACAAGGTATGGATGATCAACAGCCTGCAGAAAATTCCAAGAGAAAATGCATCAAAAAACCTACAATCTAATATCATCCAGAAAGTGCACTGGAACCAGAAGACTGTAGATACCCACACACCTGTCTCAGACGGGTGAGAAGATCAAATATATGAGCAAAGTTATTCATCAATGTCCCAGCCTCAATATACCTGCAAAAACAGAAATGAACATGGCAGAGTCAAATACATGTTACTACATGAGCGATAGGCATTAGAAAACCATAGAACAGAAGGGTACTTAACGTATTGAATTGAGCTTTACTGTTTTGGTATAGTGATTCATAGTAATCAGACTCTTTTACATCTAGTGAATCCCGCCTCAGAGTGACCTACAAAGAAGTAAAAAAACTTATATGTAAACACGTCAAAAGCAAAGAAAGCAACCATAATACCGAGCTTCATTTACAAAGCAAAAAAACATACGATTCTAGGAGGAAGCGCAAGATCAGCTGCACGTCCCAGTTTAGTACGTCTTAGGAGGATGTCCTTCAGAACTTTGTGTTTTAGCAATATCATGGCCCTCTTACTCCGTTGCTCGTTTTCAAGAGAAGGCTCTGTTATTGGACTAGCCACATTCTAGCAAGATTGGAAATAACCAAAAAAAATAAAAAAATCAGGACAAAATGGTGATCATGTTTTCAAAAATTTGGTGACACAAACAAAAACCTTATTCCACCAACAGAAATGCCGCACTGCATTATGAGGACAGCTGTGACAATCTGCATGCGTACTGCACCAAAAACAAAAAGAGATCAAACAGAACTATGAGCTATGAAAGACAAGAGAAAAGTGTAGGTAACTAGGTAGCTATAAATATTTTTACGTGTAGTCAAGAATGCTACAGTCACAGTCCTTGCAGAAGTAATACGAGTATGGACTAATCTGCAGGAAGCGAATCTGCAAAAAAAAAAAAAAAAGATAATAATAATTAAAAATCAGTGACGTTAATGATAATGTGCAAGTGCTATATAGATTAACTAACCAGAGAGTAAAGCTCTCCAACACGATTCTGGAGAGGAGTACCACTCAAAGCCCATCTGTAAGTAGCCTCCAATGCAAAAACAGCTCTAGCAGTGTTGCTACGTCTTTCTTTGATGTAATGAGCCTGTTATGTAGAAAATGTAAATTAAAAAAAAAACTATATAATAACTAAACAAAGAGAGGCATCATGTACTTGTAACTGACCTCATCCAAAATCACCCGGTTCCATTTAACAGAGTGCAAAACAGACTTCTTTCTATCCACCTGAACCTGTTCCTCTAATGTTTGTTTACTCTTCTTCCTAGACCGCTTCACATTGCTACCCTCTTCAGCCTCGGCTGCTTCCATTCTTGATGGCCCACAAAAATTCACATGATGGATCATAAGCTTGTTTGGTAAAAACCATCTGCTGCAATATTCACATTGCTTCTTTCTCGGCATCATACACTTCCTGAATTCACTCTCAACCGTGGAGTAAGTCGTCAACACAAAGTCATACTTCTTGAAATTATTACCATTCTTCTCTCTCTTAGCCCCATGGTACACAAGCACCTTAGTGCTTCTGGGAGATGTAAACCGATCTATCTCACTTAACCACTGAGAAACAGCGACGAGAGGACAAAGCACAAGTGTGCAACCAGCTGCTTTTTTGGATCTAGCTCTGTCAACTTCACGTTGTGCAAGAACTAGTGAGATGGCTTGTATGGTTTTCCCCATCCCCATCTCATCTGCTAGAATACCTCCTAAGACTGTTTGTTCTTGTTTTGACGCCCATGCTAGAAACTCCTTTTGGTACTTAAGCAGTGGCATGATTAAATCAGGAGGCGGCTCGGCGGTTTCAGCAATGATTGCGCTGTGCTGATCCAAGTCAACATCATCTGTCATGTGTTCATCAACCCATCTCTCGTCTTCTTTTTCCCAAATCTCCCACAAGAGCTTGCCTTTCTCTCTGATCAAATGGTTGATTTTCCTTTTAATACCTCTTGGATGGTTTACGTTTGGTGAAGGCGCAGGAGCAAAAACAGCGAGAGGAACAGCGTTAAGTGCAGGAATTGGTAAATTATCATTACCATCATCCTCATCATCATCATCATCATCATCATCATCATCATTCTCCCCGTCAGAAACTGTTTATACAGAATATTAGTATGATAACAATAAGCAGGTCTACCACGAATGAACTAACATAAGTATACTAATACTAAAGAACAGAGACTGTGTTAAAAAAAAAAACTCATAATAAGTCAAAAAGACACTAAACGTTACATCTTCAGCAACGAGAGAGACAACATACCTTGAAACTCAGAGTCGGTTGAATCATTATCTGAAGAAGACACAACATACTGTTCTTCTTCATCAAGTTCTTCCTCCAGATTCAAACCTATTTCACAAGAAAGACATGTCAAAGTGCTTAAAGTTATAGTTTTTTTGTATAATCAGAGTCCAAAATCGCACATAGTAAAAAAAACAGAGAAGGTGAAGGATCAATAGATAGAGATAAAAAAAAAGTAATGAGAAGAATGATAAACCTTGGTTCGATGTATCAATAGCCTTTTTGCGAGGTCGAAGCTCCATAGCACCCAAAAATCGATGGAGAAAGAAGAAGAAGAGAGATTGAGGTTTATCACAAGTGTCGTTTTATATTTCCATATACAAATACAAAGAGACAGAACACATTAAAACTGAGTCGAGAACCGCGGGGGAACGCGTCAAAAAATTTATATAAACCGAAAATATCTTCTTTGTTTTTAAAATTTTTGTATCATTAAAAAAAAAAGAAAAGAAAAACTTACAAAAAAAGATTTTAAGATAGCACCGTATCATATAGCAATAGTTATATTTGCCTGTTATTCTGTTTCCTAAATTATATAAAGATTTTTCCTTTACTTGAAAATCTTTTAACATACAAGTGAGGAATATTCATCTGTGCATGGTGTATCATGCATGTTCAATCCGGTAAAACTGAATCGAAGTAGAGAAAGATGTTTGAATTCAGTAGTATCGAATGAATGTCAATTTTAAAAAAACCGCAGTCTTTAGATATTGTTTGATATATAAACCGATTAAATCGATAAATTAAAAGATAATAGTAATAAATATATGTAAATTATACAATATGATTATAAATATATACATGATTTATTTTATTCATGTGATCTTCGTACTTAAATTTTGATTTTAAAATTTAAATATTTTACTGATGTGATCCTTATATTCAAATTAAACAAAACATAATTATTATTTTTTGACAAATATGTGTCATAATATTTAGTTATTTAATAGTATTATGGATTACTAATAGTATTACTTATTTTTACTCCATAAAACTATTACTATTATTAACTAAATATATTTACTAATTATTTAAATAGTAAAACAAAAAAAATATTTAAAACCAAAACATTATCGTGTTTTATTAAATTTAAAATAGATAATTAATCATCTGAAATAAAATTTATAAAATATATTAAAGGATAAATATATTTATGATCTTTTGGTATAAACCAAATAAATAAATAAACGACGATATAATAAAACTAAAAATAATAATATTTAATATGGTAGTTATTTTTTATAAATTGAAAAACCAAAAACCTGAAAAAAATTAACCGAAAGGAACCGATAAATATAATAATTGAACCCCCAGAGGGGTGATTAAGACTAATCTTTCTACAGATTCCAGAGATTTAGGTATACTAAGGCCCAATAACGTGGAAGATAACAACCCCTTGATAAATTAATATCTTGTCATTAGTGGCCAGGCTCGGCCCATGATGACATTGGCAGAGTAAAAAAATTTCGAAGATTTTTCTATCGGCTTTACCGGTTATTGGGAAAGATAATGTCCATGGAAAGGGGGAAAAAAACAAGGTGTTGAAGCATGTTATTGCAAAAGCATGTTAGAGAAAGACTATCATGACGTTAACGCCTCGTGGTTTAGCTTCTGGTTTTGATTATCATCAAGGACAAGGGTCCCTATAATAAGTGAAGTTATTGCATTCCATATTGTGTGGGTTTGGTAGAGAAATATCTGACGATAGGACCTCAAAATTTAAGTAGATGGGGTATACGTAACATGTGCATGTAAAACGAGACAATTCATTTGAGTCATATATTGCACAAAGATGAATCAAACGAGTCAGTTCTTCATTGATTGAATAAATATTGTGGGGATTTTTGGATTTGTTTCGTTTAGAAAAATCAAGAATTAGTTTAAGATCATTCCGTATTCAATATTTTCTTATTAGAATATCCCAAAACATTCTTACACAAAAATAGAAGAAACACACATCCTGAAATGAACAATGATGTATCATACATTTTGTTTCTGCTTCTTAAGCAGGACAAGAGAAGTAGAACCAAACAAGTACATAGTAGTACTACAACGTGAAAATGTGAATAAGAGCTCGGATTAACGGTGGCCGCCACCACCGCTTCCGCTTCCAGAACCTTTACCGGAGCCTCCACCAACCCCAACACCTATTCCTATTCCAATCCCAAAGCCTCCTCCTCCACCATGTCCTATCCCATGACCTCCACCCGCTCCACCACCAGCACCACCACCGTGTCCAACGCCTCCTCCAGCACCAAATCCACTACCATGTCCAGATCCACCACCCACTCCGCCTCCTCCACCACCACCAAATCCACCGCCTCCCCCAACACCTCCTCCGGCTCCACCCCCAACTCCTCCTCCAGCTCCAAAACCACCGCCGTGACCTGATCCACCACCAGCACCACCCCCTCCACCACCACCACCGCCTCCACCTCCTCCACCTCCTCCACCAAGTCCTCCCACACCACCAACTCCTCCTCCAGCTCCGAATCCTCCACCGTGTCCAGATCCTCCACCGACACCACCGCCTCCACCCCCGCCAGCTCCTCCACCACCACCAACTCCTCCGCCTGCACCAGCCCCACCACCTACACCTCCACCGGCTCCAAACCCACCTCCGTGACCAGAACCGCCGCCAACACCTCCTCCCCCACCACCACCAGCTCCACCTCCACCACCGACTCCTCCACCGGCTCCACCACCAACTCCTCCTCCAGCTCCAAATCCTCCCCCATGACCTGAGCCACCACCAACACCTCCTCCTCCACCGCCACCAGCTCCACCTCCACCACCAATTCCCCCACCAGCTCCGCCACCAACTCCTCCTCCAGCTCCAAATCCTCCCCCATGACCTGAGCCACCACCAATACCTCCTCCGCCGCCGCCACCGGCTCCACCTCCACCCCCAATTCCCCCTCCTGCTCCTCCTCCAACTCCACCTCCGGCTCCAAAACCTCCACCGTGTCCTGCACCGCCGCCAATACCGCCACCACCACCTCTACCTCCACCTCCTCCGAAACCTCCACCACCTCCGCCCCCTAAACCGCCACCACGTCCAAACCGGCCACGTCCGCCACACCTCCGGCCCCATCTACAATCATCGCCCCTATACCTCGCAGGATCCACCACAGATCCATCCCCAAGAACACACTCCACAGCCCAATGAAGCAAAATTAAAGAAAGAATCAAACATGTAACACCCTTGAGTTTCATATCTTGTAATTTCTATCAGTCTTGTTTTTCTTGGGATGTCTCAGCCTCTAGAACTAACGTTGCCTTATATAGTAGATAATGAATCATCGGAGTTGTAAAAACTAATAAGCAAGTGGGATGAAGAAGCCATTAATATGGATCGCCATGCATGTTACGTTCTACGCGTTCGGGGCCGTTGGGCCATTGGCGGGAACACATTTAATGAAAATTTTGTTTTCTTCAAAGTCAATATAGATCTACTCTTAGTTCAGACTCTCACTAGCTTTCGATTTCTAGTTTTGGTTCATTAATTACATTCCTTTATTATCCAAAGCTCGTTGACATTTCAAACTATCACATCAGTATCACCACTAATGATTAAACCGAGTTTTAACGATAATATTTGTGCTAGGGCTGGGCATTTTATCCGTTTTATTTGATTCGATTCGTTATTCGTTTCGATTCGATCCGAAAATTCCGGATATCCGTAAACTTTCGAATCAAAGCAAATACTAAAATTCAATATCCGTTAAAATCGAAGCAAATCACAAATAGTAAAATTTTGGGAAGCGGATATCCGATCCGATCCGTAAATATATAAATATATGTATATCTTGATTATATTTAACATTCTAAATGTATAAAATTATATAATTATTATTCTAACATATGATTTTGAACAATTCTATTCAAATTATTACTTATATAAAAGTATTACATAAATAGAAAGAAAGAAAATTATGACAATTATATTTTTTTCTTAAATTTTGTGTTATTATAATTGTAACTTAAGCTTAAAAAATTACAAAATATATAAATTCACTAGTTCTTTTAAGTTTTATTTTATATATCATGCAAAAAAATATTTTTGCAAAGCAAATTTATATCAAAATCTTAAGATTATTTGTATTAATCAAAATGGATGAGATATCCGTAAATATTCATAAATATCCGCAAATATCTATTTATTTTCCGGATATCCGTTTTTCCGGATATCCGTATTTTTTCGAAGCAAAGCAAATACTAAAATTAGATATCCGTAACATTCGAAGCAAATCACAAATACCTTAAAAACCCGGATATCCGATCCGTGCCCACCCCTAATTTGTGCTACTTGACACTTGAAAGTTGAATATTCGACTTTTGCTAAAGCTTTACGGATGAAAAAAATTGGAACTAGGTTTATACAAGGCGATAATTAATATTAGTAACTTTTGCTACTTTTTAATATGGTGGTTAACATTTTAAATGTTGCTTTCTATCTTACATAGTACTTTGTTTTCACTCGCATTTACCATGGGTGATGGAATATTAGCATAGGAAAATTAAATTTAAGAATAAGCAGTGAGAGACTTGAGAGTCAACGGTGGAAATGTTGAGAGAAAAATAAATTTGGCTCACATGCATTTGTAAGTACATTGTCTAAACCTTACTATACACATTTAATGTGTTACTATTTCCCCAACTAAAACCACCAATCATGCCCCACTTCCAATTTTATTATATAAATTGTATAAGCACATATGCATAATTGCATATATTATATATATCTTTATATCATAGATTAGGATTCTTAATGATACTTCACAGAATAACAGTGAAAAATATTGGACCTGTAGTAAATATCTCTGTTATTCTGTGAAGTATCTCTGTTATTCACGAGATGGAATGATGATATCAGTGCACGTAGGTTTCTTTCCTGGAGCTTAATCTCAGCTCTCAGAAATCCCATAAACAAATTAAGAATCAACGCTAAATGTCAGATACGGTTGATATAAATATCTAATTTGTTTTTCTCCATAAACCCGCAAAAATATTCTTTTTAGATTCAGTGAAGAATAAAAACATATTAAAAAGCTATTCTCTCTGTTTCAAGCCACCACTGTCTAAAAGGAGAGATCTTCTACAATGTCAACAACTGAGACTTGTGATCAATGCCATTGAAGATGTAAGTCCCCAACATCGGAACAAATTGCTTTGTAACAAGCTGCAAACATACAGAGAGAGAGAGAGACACAGACATAGCAACAAGTTCAATGATCTTTTAAAGCTATTAGTGAATATAAACAATTAAAGTTCTGAGCAATAAGAAGGAAGTATGAACCTTGATGACTTCTTGAGATGCGATTCCTCCAACAAAGGCAGCAACCACATGAAGCTCTGAGGCACCAAAGCGACACATCTCATTGATAAGGTCATCAGGCAGTACTGAGCCGTTACACCCCAAATCGGCAAGAAGACTCAATGCAGTAGTTTTTAACCGAGAAATGTCCTCATCCATTCCTCTACCAAAACACAGATATTTTGCATGTTAATAGCCAAACAAGGCCCCATTTGTTCAGAAGCTTATTACCACAATGAGTTACTTACCCATCAAACTGGCCAGGAAACTTGTTATAGTTGGCAGTAAATTTGTCCACGGCTCTAAGAAGAACATAAAACCCCATTGCACCACTGCGACAACAAACAATATTATCATAAAGATTTGGACTAAAAACAGAAACTATTTTGCTGCTGTATGAGCAAAGAAAGAAGTTTTCGTTAACTAAGGTTAACTAGATAAATAGCAGTTTTTGCAAATATTCAATCACAGTATCTTATATAACGCAAGGTCATCTTTCAAATCAGCTGATAGGTTTGTGTTCATATGAAAAGAGCAGTGTACCTGTAATCCTCGTCCGCTAAACACTTTTGAATTTCGGTCACAGAAGGACTGCTGAACTCGTCCTCTACCATACGGTATCTGCATACCTACAAAGCAGAGATTGAAATTTATAATATAGTCAAAACATGTGTTTCTGATACTTGCTTCACAAGTAAACAAGCAAAAGGTAACCATTGAGAGTTAAGTATTCTCACTTTAAGTTTTCTTGCATTCTTACAGAAGCTCTTGATAGTTGGACTTGAGATGCTGTTCGGATCTCGACCGATTTTCTTCAAAATGTTTTTGACTCGTTTCTCCATGACAAGAAAATCAGCCTCAGCTTTCGCTAGATAGATTTTCTGCAAATTGATATAGTGCCTGGCAAAAAGAAACAATACAGATACGTTAGCAATCTGGAAAATAGATTGAAGATGGAATTCAATGACATAGAGGTAGTTGCACTAACTCTGTTGAAGACGTCATATCTGGTATGGAGCCTTCAAGGGGTGCCTCTCCGTCACCTTCGTTTGAGACAAACTCCTGCAGGTGTAGATGGATGAATATCATAAACAAATCAAAACGAGTTGCAGTGATGGTCAGAAAGACAGATTCACTGACTACTTATCAATCCCAACCACTTGCAATTCAGAAATGAACATGAAAATATGAGTTTAGCAAGAGTAATATTCTAGATTCAAACCTTCAGAGCCGCTACCATCACCCAAAAATCTGAGGAGGTTGAACTCGCTTCAGCACAACTATCATTGCAAATTTGTTGAATCTCTGAGCCTGGAACAAAGACCAGGTTTAGTTTGACATGAGGAAGACTGTGATTTGACCCAGTGAAAAAGTTTTCTGTGAGTTACCAGACCACACGAGATGTCAACTTACTGATTCCACGAGGAGCAAAAACTTTGAAAGCAGCTTCAACGGCTTCCTTGTAGTTATCCTCATCTATAGATATCATCTTGGACTTAATGAGATCCTGAGATTTCAAGAATAAAGATAAATTAGAACAAGGAAGCAAACTAGCTAAAGAGTTCGGTAAAAGTAAAGAAGTACACCTTAAACTCTTTTTTCTCTTCCCTTGTTGAGGGAAGATTACCACTATGGGATTTAGTCCATTCATCAGCCATCTTAACAAGAATGACAACGTAAGGTATGTGCTTATGTGCTACATGATCTGATACATTAAGATCAATGGTCTCCACAAAACTGCACAGTTTAATGCATAACCACAAGGTTAAAGGAAGCCAAAACAACATAATGAGCGAGGTTAGGAAAGCAGTGTACCTCTTGAGTTCAGGCCACGGATTATTCAAGCGAAGGTCATCAAGAAAATGATCAGGTTTCGAGTCAATTATGGTGTGTTCCTGACAAACAAGAAAGTTACAACTTAGCATATTCCAATTGGCTAATCTCCACAACCATGACAACACTCAAAAACCAACACAGTATTCCATAATTTTTCTGACAAAAATGGACCAAGAGAGGTAGTATTACCTTTACTGACACACGAACAAAACCAGTAAGGCCATAAGAGCGAACAAAAACCAACATGACGTCAGCTTCTCGACAGATTCTATCAAGCTTCACCGTTGACTCTTCCACTAGCTACATGCAACACAAAAAAAGGACCAATAAAGCATTAATCAATGAAGCAGCTCCAAGGGGTAACAAATTAATTGAAGTAAAACGCCCCAACTTTACAACTATCATCAACCTAATCAATAACCATTATACCTGAGTGGCAATAACGAGAGTAAACTGAGAGAAGAAAGATGGATTTGTCATAATCAAAGCGTCAGGACTCTCCTCGATAAACTTGGCTTTAACAGAATCATTAAGCTCTTGGAGAAACGCACAAGTAGTTTTGGCTTTTGATTGACCAACACTCCTCTCATCCACTTCACATAACAATACACAATCCACACATAAGATAAGATAACAATCAATTCCAAGAGAACTAATAACAAAAAAAAAACAGTGTGCAGAGGAATGAATATATATATACCCATGAAGTTGTTTCCAAGGTCACCAAACTCGACTTTAGATCCATCAACGATAGTGATGCTCCCAACTCCACCAAGGACGAGATTCTTCAAGGCCTCTGTTCCAGTTGGGCCACAATTAAGCAAACAGATGCTCGCTTCTTCCAAAGCAGCTTGCCCTATCTCACCCCATATCCTAGCGATCGATGTTACACAACAACCCGAGAGATTACTTACGCAAAGCAAAGCGATATATAATTATAATTATAAAAGAGAGAAAGGGAAGGGTGTGTAGTAGTATACCTGAGTTGACGATCGTACTTGGTTTTAGACATTGTTAAGCGCCTAAGCTACTCTTTCTGATTTGCCCTTTTAATTAATGAATCTTGTTGCTCAAAAAAAAAAAAAAAAAAAAAAAAACTACTCTCTCTCAAAGCCTAAAGTGCCAGAGAGCGGTTTTGTCTCCAACTCTTGTTTCATAAATACTGTACTGGTTTGGAAATAATTGTTAGGTTTAATTATCATTATTTAAAATAAAAATTA